AGAGAGAGGAGATAGAGAGATAGAGGTAAAGAGAGAGTAAGAGAATTTCAGTTTGTTCCACATTGAAAAAAATATTAAAAATTCACAAAAAAATAAAAGATAAAATAAAACTCGTGCAAATTATTCAAGATCAAAAGTTAAGCCAACCGATTTGCTCTGATTAAATATTTACATGAAACGCTGTGTCGATTGATAATGTTTTGGATAAGGATTTCTTCAAGTTCAATAAACTTTTAAAAAATCTCTCTTCTGTTTTTAGCCTGTGTGAGGTATATCAATCGTTTTTTATATGTTACTCTAAATGGGCCGATATTTACAGGCGTGTCGGGCAATATTTCCCATTTTTTTGAAATAGATTTGTTAGTACTATGTAATAACCAGAATGAGGTATTTTATATTTATTAGCAACGGATTTTTTCCTCTCCGTTTAAATGTGATGGTTATAAAGGATTAAAAATAAATATTATGATGAGTGAAGGAATTCTTATCCAACGATTAAATTTATAGGACAGATCTCTACAGTTCTGTATATTATATGTTTTCTGTATGTTTTATATATTATACTAGTATATGTATGTACATGTATGTGTGTATATATGTAATGCATGTTATATTGTATATGATATGTAGATTATTATATATATACGTGTATATATATTATTGATATGCATAGTATAGTTATTATATATGTAATAATAAATGTGATATGTATATGTTATAACGTATTATATATGTATCAAATCAAAATGTCAGTGAACGTGTATATGTGCACGTAAATATTACACTTTGTAATACACTATAGCATATTCATTAAAGAATATTTATGCTCCCCACCCACCACCCCCACCCTAAAAAAAAAACGAAAAAAAAACGAGAGTGAAAACTGACGATTTGCCTCCTCATTTAGCGCCGAAATGATCCGTTTCCAGCAGGTCGACACCAACAGCTGATCACAGGCTAATACCGAGAGGTTGTCCCAGTTCCCGCCGAGGGTGCAGGCGAAAGGGCGTTCCCGTTGCGGTTGAGTGAGTGCGGGACGGGTTGGGTGGAGAGGAGGGAATTTGAGAAAGTTTTTAATAGTTTTTTTGGGGGATTGTTTTTGAATATTTTTTTAGGGGATTGTTTTTTAATAGGTCTTTTGAGATTTTTTTTTATAGTTTGATTAGCTGTTTGATAGGTTTTTTTTTGGAGTGGGATTACTAGTTTGATGGATCGACGAGATATTACATGGTGATTGATAGGTTAATGTGTTAAAATATTGATTTTATGTTAAGTGTGTGATATGGGTTGAAGCAAAGTTGAAAGGAACCAGAGCAAGATACAATTCTTTTCTTCTCTCTCTTCATCTCTCTCTCCCTCCCTCCCTCTTCTCTGTCTCTCCTCTCCTATCTCTCTTCTTCTCACTCTTCTCGTTTCTCTCTCTCTCTCTCTCTCCTTTCTCTCTACTCTTCTCCCTCCTTCCCTCCATGTTCAAAGACAGTATTAAGATAAACATTGAAGAGTCTGGTTAACATCTTGAAACTTGTTGAAAACTCTAGTTGACTGTTGAATAATTGACAATAACTGATAAAGGCAAGATAGAACAACAGGTTACGACAACAGAAAGATATCCTAGAATACCGAAGTAAAGATAGATACGTATAAGGGAAATGTGGAGAAGGCCTATGTCCAACAAAGGGCTTGTAGAAGGCTGAAAGATAAGATAAGATAAAACAAGATAAGTAAGATGTGGATATGATACAGAGTCCCGTTGAACCTCTTTCAAAATGTGATAAAAACTACAGATTCCCTTCTGAAATATTCACATAAACCCAACTTTACATACAATGTGTATAGTGTATCTTATCTATTGAGACTTCAATGCCTCTTGCACACGTGAAATACAACAGAGTATTATCAAACTTTAAAGCAAGCAATCTATAGAAAATACATTGATATAAATTATATATTTCAAAAAAAAAAAAAAAAAAAAATATAAATGATAAATTAATCTGATTCTCCCGGACCCTCCTGCATCCCATCCAGGGACCCCCAAAAGCTCAATGGACCCCAGATTAAGAACCCGCTAAGATATAACCATTGATTTTGTAGTTCTCAAATTTCAAAAGTTTATTGATGAAGCGAGGGGATAACTGAGGAGTTTAAATGAATCAAAAGAAGAAACAGAAGAGAGAAAAAAAGAGAGAGAGATAGATGAAATAGAAGGAGATAACAGAGAGATAGATATAAATAGATAGATAGACAGATAGATAAATATATAGATATAGATGGATAGATAGATAGCTAGGTAGATAGAAAGACATTGATAGATAGATATATAGATAGATAGACAGAGAGATAGATAGCCTGAGATAGATAAATAGATAGATGGCCTTTGCACTAGAATTTTTTTCTGTTTCTTTACTTTTTTCATCATTATCATCTCATCAAATAATATAATTAGATAATAACAATGATAATAGTGATAATAATAATAATGATAACAATAACAATACTAATTATAATAATAATAAAACAAAAACATCAATAATAACAGCAGTAATAATAACAATAATGATAATAACAATAATAATCATAATAATGATAGAAAAATAATGATGATTATGATGATCATATAATAATAACAACAACACAACAATAATAATAATAATTATCATTGTTATTATCATAATGATGATGATGATGTGATGGTGAGGATGCTTATTATCAATTTACCTATTATCATTGTTGTTGCTGTTATTGTTATTAATATTAATATTATCATCATTATTATCATCGTTATTATCATCATTATATTTGTGATTATAATTTTGTCATCATAATTTTCCTTCTCTTAAAGAGGTTTTGTCAGTGATATGCATTAATGAAGAATTATCTTTGAAATACTGCATGAACAACAGCTCCCCCACTCTGCATGAAATTATGCACATTAACACTAACTCTCCATTATATATCAAAATAAGTGAGTCTACGTGCAAGAGAATATAAAATGAAAGAAAAAGGGAAGAAAACACAGCGAAAGAAAACGGAGCCACGCGCATACCTGCGTCCTAATATCAAAACGAGATATGTATTATTCTCACACTCGTATTTCACCAAGATTATTTCCGCGAACTTCTCTCATCAAGTGTAAAATATGGAGTCTTTATCTCCGAAGCTGCTTGAGAAACTGCAGCACAAAGTTTTGATCATATTATGAGTTAGAGACTCTTATCTTCTCATGTTTAAAGTGGAATCTTTTTTTCTTTTTTAATATTTCGTAAGATTAGGATCTCGGAATCTATTTAAAACCGCGCTGGGTATGACTTTATTTTTAAAATTACTGTTTCATCGAGATATGTTCCTTGAGGCAATTACACGCAGACTAGTTCATGTTCGGAAATGTTTACACGTGTGTGTGAATGTGGCCTGATTGCTCATTAAACGTCGATAAATAACGCATGAAAAAGCAGTGAAATAAGAGTAATATCTTAATTAGCCGTTCGTAAATACACGGCACTTGGGCAGATCATTTAAGGCCTGCGTGTTTACATTTGTGTCAAGAGATAGACAGGTAGACAGACAGATGCCTGTCTACATATATATACAATACACGTATAAACATACATGTATATCTATCTACCTATCTACCTATATGTATGTATGTGTATATATATATGTGCGCGAGTGTGTGTGTGTGTGTGTGTGTGTGTGTGTGTGTGTGTGTGTGTGTGTGTGTGTGTGTGTGTGTGTGCATATATACATATATATAGGCAGGTAGGTTGAAACCCCACGCCTCACAAGAGTACAAGAAAGCACATTTTCTCCAACACTAGATATACTTGCAAATTATTTATTGTAAGTTTACTTCTCAGAAACCGATGCTCTTTCACCAAGAAAATGTTCTGATAATAACATTCTTTGTAAATGGAGCAAGACAATCGTGCCAAGTTGCAAGGCCTAATGAATGAGTGCTATTGTTGATACCACGACCACTAGTACTCATAATGTCGATGTCATCTTGCGGGACTAATAGTAATAGTGAACTTGATACTACAATAGAAAAAAATGTATGAGGTTATTCATATAATCTATTGTCAGATTCGATCTCTGCCCAGAAGGATATTATATCTTAAGAAAGTTGTTTATTCGAGTGACTAATGAATCTATAATTTTGCTGCTTTATCAACTTTGATTTTTGCTAATCGGTGTCCTCAGTATTTGTTAAATAAGTTTATATTTTCGGTGTTGTCAGTATAATT